AGTACTGAGCCTTGGGGGACACCACTCGTGAAATCATATATCTGATTTCTTGTATCTTCCTTTAATACATCTAGCATCCCAAAGTAACATGTGTCAGTGATCACTGACTGCAAGAACAGCGTGTGGTACTACACTGATTTGCATGCATCATATAATGACAGCTTCTACCTTAATAAAACAACTATTGGTATTGATTAGGAAATGTATCTGTCAATAGTTGAATACATATTACATTCAAGATATAAAATATTTTTTTTTTAATTATGCAGTCACAACTAAAAACCTTTGAACATCATTGTGTAATAACATTTTAAGATTTGCAAAGCATTTGCACTGTATTTTCTTTTCGATTTTACTTGTTCAAAAAATATAGGGCTTCTTTCTGCAACTAAATTCAGTACATGTATAGAAGAGTTCAGTCCTAAAAAGGTATGCAAAGGACAGAAGGTATGAGTAATGATCATCACCTCCCAAATCACATCCTTAATTTTGCACTCAGATTTCATCACTGTAGAACTGCAATGGTTTCTAATGGATAACCACAGAAACTAATATTAAAAAAGTTGTATAACTGAGCCATAAATGTGATGACCTTTAATGATACATTTGCAATTCAAACAGAATGTAAGTGAGATTGGTAGAAGGCTATCACTAATTATTCAGTAATTCTCCACTAGGGAAATCATTAGCAGTTTACCTGTCATTAACAGTTAATGTTAGCAGAAATTGCTAATTAAATTTTATAATTTTATGTTTAATAGGTTTTCTGCAACGTGACTCCATGGATTTATTGCTGTATCTCACGCCAGGGAGCTCAGTAAGAATTAAGAAGTCATATAAATCAAATCTATTTCTATGCTGATTGTTAAATAGCATACTCTGATAAAAAAAATAAATCTTACACACTATAGAGACAGTCAAACAGAAAAATGGGATGTTGAATAAAAGAACCTACATTTGCATTCTCTTGTTAAAACTGATTTGTTTGGGTTTACATACAAATTAATGTTTTCATTCTCATTGGCTGTGCACATGTGCAGAACACAACACAAAATGGGAACCAGCTTTGCTGAGAACTACTGCAGTTCACAGCATAAAAATACTATTTTGGTACAATTTTGACTTAGCATTTGTATCATCTAGTTTTGAACTAGTGTAGTTTAAAATTTCTAGGTCTTGGTAAACTTGAACTTGTTTCGGGCTGTGTTGGGTTTCTGCACTATGTGCTGAGAAGAGTTTGAAATAATATACATGCTAACATTGCGTTCAAGAGGGGATGTGATTTTATGCATTACTTATTTTTTTTTCTGCTACCATTCATCATGTAACTTTTACATACAAAGGCATATCACTGCTAATTAGTTAAAAATTGTCACAAAAGGATATGGATTTCAGAGATAATCAGGAGTGTGGTTCTTGCCCCTAAGATCTGACATGAAGGGGACCTACAGGAAAGCTGGTGAGGCACTGTTCACAAGTGTGTGTAGCAACAAGATGTGGAGCAGTGGCTTAAAACTAGAGTAGGGTAGGTTTAGATTAGATCTTAGAAAAAAGTCCTTTACAATGAGAGTGGTGAAACACTGGCACTGGTTGCCCGGAGAGGTGGTAGAAGCTCCATCCCTGGAGGCATTTCAAGGTCAGGCTCGATGGGGCTCTGAGCAACCTGATCTAGATAAAGATGTCACTGCAAGTGGGTTGGACTAGATGGTCTTTAAAAGTCCGTTCCAGACCAATACATCCTATGATTCTATAAGCAATGATTGTGACTGGAAAAGATTTGCACAAAAAATGTCATATTTTTTACTTAGACCAAAATATGGCATCTTCCTTTTTATTATTGAAACAAGAACATCGACACAATGCAAAGAAAAGATGAAGTAAGAGGAGGAATCTAAGAGAAAGTGTAGAAATAAGAAACGAAGTATACTGTGGCACAGAAAGTAGAATGAAAAGTAAGATTCTTAACATTAATCACAAAATCTGATTTTTCCTGCATACTGCATGTATGTGATTAGTGATAAATCTCAGCGGTTGGATGAAAGTCTGAGGCTCTGGTTCTTAGACAAAGCAACAATTCTGAGCTGTAAAGCTGTAAAGGAACCAAGAAAATCCTACAGTCTTGGACAGAAGACAATCTGGTCCTGACTTAGCTAGTTCAGAAAATGTAACACAAAAAATACTAACCAAAATAAAAGAAACAGACATTTAAATACATAAAAACCCAGAATAGTTACCTGTAATCGGTGCCGTTCACAGCAGTCCATGTGTATGTTCTGTTTCCTTTATCAATATATCTCTACAAAGAGATATTGGTAAAAAAAAATTATTGAATCTGAAACTTCAACAAATATGACATTTTCTTGAGAAATACAGTGTAAAAACAAGTATAAAACTATTGGAATTCAAATTCATATTTTGCTAAAAGCATGAGTCGGGCTGCAACTCTTAAAAAATATTTTCTAAACCCATATTATGCAAAGGAATCACCTCTATCCTTTTTATCAAACAGTAACAAAATACAACTTTAAATAAAACTAGACAAATACAACCTATCATTTTTCTATTTTAAATTCATTAGCCAGGCCAATGCAAACCTTTTTCTATGTGATTTGTGTTTGATAAAAGATGTTATGTTTTCTTTATGGACTGTTTTGCATCTAAACTAAGAAAAGAAAAAGCTTTAATTAGAAAAAATATTTTGTAGGTAACATTTTAACAGCAAGAACACTCTGTGCTTGTCTTTTCAGGTCATAGTACAACTGGCTCAATGCATTTACATTTGAGGCACATTCACAGGCACAGCCAGGTAATCCTGATTGTATAGGCACCCCATGTTAAACTTAGATGTGTTTCTAGTCTTATTAGGAGGGTATTGAATTTGTGAAAAACTTAACATTGAAGTAAATTTTTAATAACTTAATACATCAGTATAAGCTTTGATATTGATTTTCTTCTGTCATGAAATATAACATGATAGGCACAGTCCCACAGGACCTCCACAGACTTAATGATTAATGCACCTAACTGATATAATTTTTTTCAGTTTTCCACTTTGAAAAATACAAGTATACGCCAGCTGCAACATATTATTATTTTATAATCAGAGATTTGTAAGTATGCCAGCAATGAAGTCTGGGCAGCTGTTGAACTCCAACATTGCAAACATCACTGAAAGGTTCCACAGATACACCTTTATGCTCTCCCTTCCTCTATGGTAAAATGTGTGAAAATGACTATGGTTATGAAAAAAAAGTGTCTTTTTTGACATTTGTAATTTGAAACCTTCTCATTACCTAGCTGCTGCTTTTCAGTACAGCATGACAGTGTAAATAATTTAATAGTCATTTTGGAAAGAAAAAAAAAGGAAAAAAGTAAAAAAAAAAGGTAAAAATAAAAAAAAAGGTAAAAAAAAAGAATAATATATCAGAGTCTAATGCTCTCATATATTTAAGTTGAAGAGATTAACTCATGGCATTATTAAATATAAATAAGCTTATTTATAATTATTAGCCTATACTATTACTTCAGCTCAGAAATAAGTAAATGCTTTAACCTAGTGCTCGCAGTGTCTCCAAATCACATGCTTTGCCATTGGCTGCACACCAGGTATGCTGGCAAGACAAAAGTGGCAAGGTTGGAGGGATAGAAAATGTGGGCTCTTATTAAATCCTGTTGCCACCAGAATCATAAACATTCTTGAAAGCAAATCGAGTGAAAACTCCCTTCTAACATGACCCAGCAGATCACATATCATCATGTATCAGCCCCCATTTACCTCTCCCTACTTCATTACTGAGCAGTCAGACCATCCCATCCCCAGCTGGTCACTGCCAAAGAACCTACACACGTTATTGCAGTTTTTGGGACTCTTGAGTTTGCACTACTGCCCACCCCGGCTGCCTGAATGTGGCAATGCTTTTGTTCCTACGGCATCTCCTCTGTTAGCTGGAAAGCCCCTGAGGCCTTGGGAGACTCCAGCACACCCCACCCACGCTTGCTACGAGTCCAGTCTCTATGTTGTAGTATGAGGTCATCTCCCAAGACACCGCTGGGGCCAGCTGCAATACAAAAGGAAAGCAATGCAAACTTAAACCAAAAAGTAAAACAAAAAGGACATCAATTCTAAGCCTCAAGACTGCAACTGTCAGTTCAGAGCAACTGACCACATCAGCCCTTTTTATAAGAAAATATATGAAGCTATCAATCCTAATTGATGCATGGTTTATGCACGGCCCTTGGCCTAAAGCAGCTTTATTCTGGCTCTAGCAGCCTGGAGCTGGAGGGTGCAATGGCTTGAAGCAGTCACAATTGCCAGCTTCTCCTTTTTACTCTCAGAGAGGTCCAAGTAGAGGAAGAAACCTTGGACCATGATGCAAGGGAAAATGGGGGAAATGAGTTTCACTGGGCACTTGAAGCATCTGGGGTCAAACGACTTGGGATATTCTATGGACATATGGACTGTGGTCTGGGCCCTGCATAACTGACATATCCTCACGTGCTCAGGGATCCCACATTTTCCCTCACAACTCCAATGCTGTAGCTGACTCCAGCCCTTGCCGGTGTAAATGCTTGCTCTCCCTCCCTCTTTGGGAAATAGTTGCAGGACCAACTGTGTCAGGCCCTTTTTATCGCACAGCCTCAGAAACGCATGCATAGCCTGAGATCTTTTCAACAGCCTTGCCATGAATGCAGTTTCTTGTCTACCCCCAATGGTGTTATTGTGTTCTCATGACCTTCTAATCCTCCCTTTTCTAACTGCCTACACAAAGCCCTTTTCACCCACAGCACTGGAAAGGCCTTCCTTAAACCAAACAAGTCTGAAAATGTCCCAATGAGTCCCTCCCTTCAGGGGCAGCTTATCCCCAGCACACACGCCAGCTGGGGTGACAGGAATGTCTCAGTCTCCCTCCAGAACAGGGGGACAGGCTGGTGGCTTCCTAGACAGGATGGGCTCCTGATGCAAGTGAAGCAGCAGAACTGACATTATATGGGTCTCAGGCAGCCCCACCCCAGGAAGGTCCTGTTCCTTCACCGTCCTCCAATAGGGAAACCATTCAGGAAAAGTCACCTTTTTTTTTTTTGGGCACACAGCAGGATTTCCCCATAGGTTGTAACACAGTATTGTAAAGTCTCACTCAGGAGGGCTGGAGTGGGGGCTTTATTGTGAGAAGAGAGTCCTGGAAGGAGGCAAAGGGACTGCTGGTACAGATGGAATGAAGTTGGATACAGAGGAGTGTGGGCATGTTTAGTGAGACCATGGGACTCCACAGGTTCAAGTACCATAACTTATGAGCACGCTTTGAACCTAAACAGTATAAGTGTTTAAGGCTTGAGTTAAGCTGACTTCCCTCATAGAAACTAAAGTAGGAGAATATGACTCTCTTGACTACTTGATTACATTACCATAATTACCATTATTATTCAGCTAAGATCATCTAAAGTTAAATTTTTCTGCACCCACTGAAGCTGAGGTTCTATTCTAAAGAAGAGAGTTTAGGAAGTTCTACACTTTCCAAACAAGGCATCAGAAAGAAGAGAACGTCTAACGCTTGAGTCAAACTCACTAGGCTCTGCAATATAATAAAATAACATAACAACCTTCCTGCAACAAAGTCACAAACTTGTAAGCAGGGAGTTCAATGAATATACAGATTTTATTCTGCCTCCTCACAGGTGGACACACATGTAAGTAAAGCCATTGATCACCTCAATGACATCCATAGCTCAGCAATAAAATATGACTCTGATGGATTTGCACCATTGTGAAGATTTTAAGCATGGCTTCCTGTCCTTATTTGCACTCCTTTTAAATTATGCTATGACAAGCAACATGCTTTTTCTAATTGAGTGCAGATAGTAAGAGGCTGAGGAACAGTTCAGTTCTAGACTCAGTTCTAGACTCTTCAGTAAAGGAAAGACATGGACCTGTTCGAGCTGGACCAGAGGAAAGTCATAAACATGATCAGAGGGATGGAATGCCTCTCCTCTGAAGGAAGGCTCAGAGAGTTGAGGTTGTTCAGCCTGGAGAAGACTCCATGGAGACATTACTTTGGCCTTTCAGTTCTTAAAGGGGACTTATAAGAACGATGAGCACAAACTTTTAGCAAAATTGCAATAGGACAAGGAGTAATGGTTTGAAACTAAAAAAGAATAGATTCAGACTAGATATTAGGAAGATTTTTTTACCAACAAGGGTGGTGAAACTCTCATGTCCGGAGAGGTGGTACAAGCCCCATCCCTGGAACCATTCAAGTTCAGGTTGGACAGGGCTTTGAACAACCTGATCTTGTTGAAGGTGTCCCTGCTCACCACAGAGGAGTTAGACTAACCCAATGGATTCTATGATTCTCGAAGTATTTTCCCAAAGGTCTGTTGCAGAACCAAGCAATCGTGAACTTGAAAATGTGAAATCGCAGCATGGATAAATGATTGAGACATGATTATTTCAGCTTTATCTTCAGCCTCATCTAGCCAAGACGTGCATTGCCTCTGATTTTAACCCACAAACACAACAAAGTTTCTACAATATTTAATGTAAAGATAGATTTGGGCCATGAAATATTTTTTCTTCTGTATCAAAATTAGAATATGTACATAAGAATCTTCCCTCAGAGCAGAATTGATTCAGTAGGAACTGCACAGTATTGGGCCTCATTTGGTGTATCTGGCCAAAATTCAAAGCAGATTTTAAAAGTTGCTATCAGTCATTAGACATTGAATGGAATATATGTAAGGAATGTGCTGGGTTTTAACAGAATAATAATAAAAAAACCCCCTAAATTCTGAGGCCTGATTTACTATTAATTTAACTTGAGTTTATAGCATGCGCCTTGTGAGAAGGAGGAGTTTTCACTGGAACCTTCTGCCATTTAATTACAAATGGCAGAGCCATTGGAGACATCAAAGTTGAAGAAGATCAACAGGAAAGAGCAGCTAACATTACAACTGGAGAATTAACTGCAGAGTCTCAAGCAATTCTGCTGAGTATTGTTACGGCGTGCTTATATATATAAGGATTATGTAATGTCTGCTTGATGCTGTATTTGTTTCATGTTTTTCTGCTATGTCATTAAATTAGCTGTCTTCAAGCTGTTTTACATTCAGAGTAAAACAATTTCAAAAGTCTTTTGTAGAGCTGCAACTGTGAGGCATACTCTGGCCAGAACTGCTCCTTTGGCACACCAGTCATGATTTCTTCTCATTAAGGTCCCCAAGATAGAGCATATATGTAAGGACCTGTATCAAATTTGTGTATTTGCTACTGCTAGAAAATATGCCTGTCTCAGAGAAACCAATAGTAACCTTCATCAGAAATAAGTGTTTTAGACAAGAACATAAAGAATTCAACAAACTGTTCAGAAAACACAAGTACATCATACAAACATAAGATAAACTTGCTTATCCCAAATAGCCTTCTTTTATTGCATATAAGTGTTATATTTTTTTCTCACTACTTTCTTCTCATTTAACCGCAAAATAAACTACCAAACCCATTCTCAGACATCTCCGCAAGCAAATTAAGTACTTTGTTTTGGGATTCATACACAGAAGTAGGCTGGGTCCATTTCCTGGTGAACAGAGCGTAAGGCCTCATCAACAACTGGCTGATTAATGATGCAGCAAAGAAACCAAGAAACAAAACAATTCTTCTTTTCATAAGTACACAGTTTCTTTTACTATAAGCCAGTAAAACTGGCAAATTCAGAGGGAAAAATGGTATAAACCGACTTTACAAAATGAATACCTTCTTATTCTTTCACAATATTTTTCTGGTTTTGTTTGTTCCTGTAAATGTAATTGCCTGTGTTCCCATCTTACCTCATCTTGGGACTTGACCAATGTTTCAAATGTTTTTTCTCCACTTTCTCCATCTATCATTTTTTTCCGAATCTGTTGGCAAGGAAGAAAAAGGGAAGAAAAAAGAAAGTCCTAGGTGTTGCATGCAATATGATTAATCTTTTCAGTGATTCAAAATATTTCATAGAAAAACAGAAAATGGTAATTTATAAGAAAGTCATAGATCTTAAAAAAAAAAAGCTAAGTTTGTAATTTTCAGATTTTTCCAATCACAAATTGCTTTACTCAAGTATATACTGCATTGGTAGAGTTATAAAGCAATGATTCTGGTACACTTTTCACAACAAGATTATCCCATAAAACTGCTTGATGTTGGGCACTAGAGAGAGTATGAATTTTGTGTAGATAAGAGGGAGCTTTGTCTAGCATTTCTCATGTTTCCCAGCCCTGATAGCGCATTGATCCACAAAAACATTTTTATAACAGTTCAAGATTAATTCTCCTCTGAAGAAAAGAAAATTAAGGCATACATCAAGAAAAGCTGGTTAGTGTCATTATGAAAGAAAAATTTAAAAGTTAAAAAATATGGTAAAAATTAAAAATATTTAAACCACCATTTTATTTCACAAAATTAACAAATTATTTTTTTAAATTCTGATCTCTGAATTAAAAAATTAGTAACTGAAAACATACAGAGCAATTGACTTTACCTCTCAGTTCCCTTTCTCATCACAGTAATAAGCTTGCATTAGTAAGAGATAGGGAAATACTTTAAAAAATCTTTCTGATAATATATTAATATCTTATTAAAAAGTGTTCCATCCTCAAAAAATTTTGCAAGGCCTCCCCCCAGGAATTGCCAGTTAATAAAGAAGAACTATTTAAATAGCCGTCATGGTGTCTTTCAAAACTAGAAGAATAGAATTCATTGCCGTTGCCTACAAATACTACCAAGTCTCAATTTGCTTCATTATAACTTCATCTATTTATAAAGAAATCATCCTGACAAATGTAAAATTGAAATTTACAGTGAAATAGATTCTCATTTCAAATCTGGAACATTTATTGTTTTTTAGTTATACAGTGAAATAAAAGCATCAACAAGTACTAGGAAATCAGATAATCTCACCTCAACTTTAATGTCATTTTCCAACTCAGCGTCTAGAAAATCCAGCGTAACAGGCTCCTGGGATTTAGGATTCTGAAGCAGAAGTTGTTGAATGATCAAATAATAAAGACAGTGTTCTGTAATGTTACAAATCACTCTAATCCCTTTAATTTCAAAGTAAGCTACATAACTGAGCTTACTTACCCATCTGTTTTATTCTCTTACAGCATGATGAATTACTTAGTGGCCCTTCCTCGTGTATTGTATTTTATTGGATAGAGAGCTTAATTGGGGAAGTGAAAATCAAATTAACACTCATAGCCAGCATCCATCCAGGTAGGGGGCTCACACTGTGAAGCTCCTTCCCCTACTGCTGGTGTGTCATAGACTGTAAGGGTGGGAGAAGATGGAAGGAAACATCAAAGAGGAATCTCTCCTTAGGTGTCCTGCCTCCAAAAATGGACAGAGGAATTTGGGAGTTTTCCAACTGATCATTAGGATGGGATAAGTCTAGTCTCTTGCAGTTTTGTCAAAAGCAGACTACAGACTTGTGGCTCTGAGGTGGGAATGTACTGCGGTTCAAGACTCAAAGAGGTAGCAATTATAGTAAATGATTTGTTTATTACAAAAGAAATATAAATCACTTTTATTGTCAGCATTGTAGGACTTCCCTGAATATGTGCAGTTTTGAATGCATTTCTCTTGACATCAGTACTGTTATCTCCATTTAAGAGATAGAAACCCGTAGCACAAAAATACCATGACCAGCAGCTTTACGACCTAAGGGATGTACGTGATGCTGACACTCGACAACAGAGCAGAGAGAAGTTTGCTGGTATGCATCTGTAGTGACCCTGGTCACAGAGGAGTGTGGAAAGATCACTGCAGCTCTGCTGAATTCTCTCAGACCACCTTCCAGTCTCTGCTCCTTTCACAGTTGCAGTAGTTTTGGCTAAGCCCCGCTGGCTTTGTATTACATGTGCTGGGGATTTCAGAGATTCAGCTATACAAACTTATTTACAAGGTAGACTGAAGTCCCTTCTTTCACAATGATGATGATATTACTTCCATCCTAACAATTTCTGGCAAAGTTACATGACAAATGTGCATGTGATTATCTTATCAAAGAATGCAAGCATATTTCATCACAATTTCTCTATGTATTGCCAGTTTGTACTGGTAGAAAGTAACATCCTGAAGAGCTGGTAAAAATGCCTTCATATACTAATCTTGAGCAGTAAGAGCTTAGCAGCAGCCCTTATTTTCAAGACTGTTGTATGGAACAGTGTTAGAAAACAAAAGATTATTCCTTCATATTCTTGAGGAACAAATGCACCTATTTCTGGTGTACGGAATCATTCCTGTTCTTAGGCTCACTGCCTGCTAAGACACAAGCCAACAAATTAATTCTCAGAAAGAGAACATGCACTGAGAAGATTGCAGACAAAGATTCTGGGATTTTTTTTTTTAAATTACTGAAAACTTCCAAAAATTTTTTATGTTTCTATCTATATAGAATAGATAAAATTAGCATCTTTAACATAATAGCATTAACATATGCTCTCTACTAATTCAAAGCTATGTAATTATTGTTATGCCATTGCTTTTTCCCCCTCCCAACAAATCCACACTCTCAAAATAAACAGTGAAATGCTAAAATATAAAAATAAATTAAAAATTACATTTTCTTACATGCAATGGATAATGAATAGCATGGTCAAACCCAAACAGCATGCATGAAGGCATTGGCATGGTAGAGGAGCCATTTGTGAAGTTCACATTTCATTTCAACACACAAAGGAACAGAGAAGAAAAGAAATGGTAAAAAAAGAAAAAAAAAAGCCATCACATCAAATCAAGGTCAATACTCATTTCAAATGATAACCTGGGCTAGCCATAGTTAAGGAGTCCCAAAGACAGAATAGTCAACTTTAACAGTCTGCCAAAATTTAAGTATACATTAATGTTTGTTCTTGTTCTTTTTAAGACTTACTTTATAGCATCACACATTCTTTATAAGGTCCTTACTAATGACTTTTAATAGATGAAGAGACTAAGCATGTGTAGAGACATTAAATGACACGCTTGAGGCACAAAGAAATCCATTTGAAAGTAGAAAGAAAATTCTTAGCGCTGTACTTTAAATGGAAGACTATTTTCCCCACTATGTCTTTTCCCCCCCAGGAATGTGTTTTTATCAGTATTTGGGCTCCATAATTTTTCTTTCCGAGGTTGCCATTTAGTGGGATTTATTGCAAGCCATGAAGAAACAAACTTACTCTTCAGTTTGCTCTTCTCTTTATCCAGTCATGCACATGACATGACAAGAATAAGCGCACCACCACCACATTCACCAGCAAAACTTAATAAAACAAAACAGAAGTAAATCACTAGCAATGAGGCATGCGAATAAAGAGAGTGAAATCCATATTCAGCATGACAAAGGCAAAGATCTACTACTTCAATGACAAATCAAGAAGGAAACAAAGAAAGAAAGAACTGGTGCAGCAACATAAAAAAAAGTTCATTGAAATGTCGTTGTCGTGTGTTTTGGGAGGTCGGTATTCTCACGAATTCTATGGAAGTCCTTCTTTTGGTGAGTTGCAGGAGCCTAGTTCCTGCTCATACCTGCAATACTAATACAGGCACAGGTTGCTTGGTCTTTACAATGAACGATGGTAAGGAAGCAGCAAAATCCTGGGCCTGGAGGGAGCCCCAGGAGCATCTGGGGTGGATGAGGGCCCAGAACCTTTCTAGAGCTGCACCTCCCTTGGCAGACCCAGCACCAGCTGGTCCATAGCATGCTGAGGAGCCAGGGCTGTGCCAAAAACGGAGGTTCTTTTCCGTTTCAGTGCTGCTTTCTCCTGTGCACAAACAAAAAATCTAGCCCAAAGATGGTCTTCTACATGCTGTATAAACACAGCCACTTGACACTTGGTGAAATCACTGATTTGCATTCGGTCAGGATTTTACACCATGTTTCACAGGTGTTCTTAAGCAAGCCACCAGTTGTGCAGTATATATTCCCATACGTGTAAGAAATTAACACGGTGTAGTGTACCTAATCTTGTTTTACTAATTATGTAGTTATCTATTCCTTTAATGATTTTTAAGATTTTATTAAGTGTTTTCTGCTCAAGGATTGTACGACATAAATGTAACTAATTTCCTTTTCCCTGTAGAGGTTAATGGAAGTTAATTCTCTGGAGCTGGGTCTGCTAAACCAAGAAACTTTATGTAAATACCAGATAAGATGTATGATCTATTCTGGCTTCCAAAAAAAAAAAAAATGAACAGCTCATTCTGATTCTGTGATGTTGTACAGCATAGACTGTACAATAAAATTGGGCAGTAAAGTTGGAGGAGTGATCTTGTCTTGATTTTGGGTTTATGCAAGCAAAGTCAGCACAAGTAGTCTCTTTTTTTTTCCCAGTCTTCAAATTCATTTCAAAATCTGAAGAATAATTTTTATAGCACGGCTCTAATTAGCACCTATTAGTAAAGCACCATAATTTAATGGAATGCCCTTCACTACAGCCAATAACATGTTTTCTATTATTTAAACAAGGAAGGATGCAAGCTTCATGCTTTGAAAGCTGTTTGTCAAAATAAACAGTTCTCTAGTTAGATTTTTCCTACTAAGCAGGGCAGAAGCTTTCTAAAGGTATTTCCAGGACTACGCATTCTATTGCACTAATCACCTCCATCCAAAGTTACCTGTACATTGGGTCTCCTTTTTCTCAATTTAACTTTTGGTATGCCCACACCAATTTGCTGAAGTAACAAAAAAGCAGTAATTTATATTTTTACACTATTAGTAAACAGCCTACTTATAGACTGGAAGCCTTCTTTCAACATCTATACTCTCCAGTGCATGTTTCCTGGAAGAAGAGACTAGCCTCCATTCTGATCAAGAGTTCTGAGCAGACTGTCAGAATTACAGTAAACAGAAACAGAAACCAGATATATTTTAAAGAATGCAAATTAAGTGAGTAGAGAGGACACTGTCCCACATAATCTGTTGGAGTTACAATATAGAATTATAAAAGTTTCACTTTTTGTTTACTGTTATATACTGTTATATATCACCCCCTCTTAAATTTCTTTCAAAACCATAAACTATAAGACAAAATACTGCACCCTACTCAAGGCATCTGGAGTTTTTGAACTATCATTAAATAGATTTTGATCAGGACCATAATGAAAATGAAGGAAAGGATGCTAAACTTTAGAACATATTCAGAAATTGAATTATTTAGTGTTTCCAAATCTTATCTAGTTAAGACTGCTCTTGTTAACACATGCTTTATGCATCCACTTCAGTGACCATGTTTATTTGTTGGAGTATCTACCCATTTTCTCCCAGGACAACGGGAAAAATACACGCACATATGCATAGACACACAAAGAAAACAGGCAGTAAAAATAAAATTAAGCACTTATTTAAAAATATAATATCACTACTACTAACTACCACAGACTTGAAAAGTTTTACTTTAAGCAGTTTAAAACTATTATTACACTGACAGTTTTTAAAAAAGTTTCTCGTATTAATTTTTGATGTAGTTTTAATGTGTAAATAGAATATGATGGGAAAGTTCTTGATGTTTTTAATAGGCTTTGGAATTTGCCTTTTGTTAAATTTTTCTCAGTTGTGCAAAAGACTTTGCAATTTCCATATTTGTAGGACTTCTTTTTGTAAGATTATAATCATAGAATGGCATAGGCTGGAAGGGACCTTAGACATCATCTAGTTCAACCTCCCTGCTTTGGGCAGGGATGCCACATCTCAACTAGACCAGGCAACACATGGGGACCGAGCAGGAATCGAACCCACAACCTCGGTGTCATCATTGTTGTCAGTACCGTGCTTAAACCACTGAGCTAACCGGCCCCCTAATGCAAGACAATGTCTCAAAACACTGTGTTGAACCAGTTGTGATTTGAGGTAACAGATTTTCAGAAGGAAAGCAGAAGACATTTAGAAGAAGGGACCATGTGAAGTTTAATACATCCTCACCTCTTCAAAGGTAAAGACATAGTTATGTTTTAGTTTACATCTATTGAAAAATTGCTGGCAAAAAGAACAAAGATGTTGTTTGTTAATAAGGTAACGGCTACCAGGATGTTCAACTAAAATTAAAATGACATGTTAAAGAGAGTCCATGAGTTCTAAACACACCTGTCTTTGTCGTGTACCTTAGTTTTAAAACGTAGTTCTTGTATCAGTCTGAATAGCATGCACCACCCCAAACAAACAGGGAGTGAAAAAGTCTAGTCTGTGTAACTGTTAATAACAACAATAACAATGATAATAATGCATATGCTTAATATTACATTTAGACATTATTCTACAACATAAAACACAACACGTATAAAATATCCTTTTTTAAACATATTCTAAATTAAACACTGGATCATTATTGGAAGTATCTCTGGATTTCCATGTCATTTTAAGTAGAAAACTACACAGAAAAACCATAATAATTTGTGTCATAATAATCCATCTCGATCTGCCTAGATTTAGATAGGATGAGCTGGTTTTCATTCTCTAATAAAAGTTCTTAGTTTTCCAGTGATTTGAGTTTACACTGCAATATAATAACACATATGAGATGAAGAGAATCTTTTTCCATATGTTCCTCAAAAGACTGTGCCTAAAACAAAAACACTGCATTGCTTCATTTCCTATTTCTTCCGTTAATAAAAATAAAGTTTCACTTGCATATAAGGAAAAGGTGAGTAGACCACTTGCCATCGTCTGAATTCCTAATAATAATAATAATAATTTCTAATAATCTCTAATGAAGAAAAGATTTGGACAGTAATGATAGGTATCTTTGTCTCAGAATAATTCACCAAGAAAATAATAAAATCAAAATTTCCATGTCTTAACATATGAAAATTTAACATATATATCCAGAAACTGAAGTCCTTCTAAATTATGAAGACTATATAAAAAACTTATTTTCCTTTTTTTCTCTTAAACTTCTTTTCCTCCTTTTCTTTTATTTTTAAAAGGGTCTTTCCAAAATAAATCAAAAGGAATATTTCATCAACACTTAAGATCAAGTTATTCTATTTCTTCAGAAGCATTTTTTTCTTTCATCTTTTGTTACACACTTGGCAAAAGATTTCAAACATATTCATTACTTCTTCAAGAAATTAATTCAAATATTCACAGTGCTGACTTCCTCCATCTTAAGAATTAAATGAATCACTAAAATATGTAGATGAATTCTTAATTTCTTTATCTGCCTTTGACAGTTCCAGATGGTGAAGTTGTAAAGAGGGGGTCTGCAATCCCTCTTGTAGCTATGGTAGGATTTTCTGGTGAAGAAACAAGAGAGGATGGTCACACAGCTAAAAGGTTGAGAACTTGCTGCTGTTCTGCCAGAGGGACATGGCTGGGAGAAAATAAAGTAATGGATATGCCTCTGGTTTAAAAACCCGCAGCATTTCCAAGCCTAAAGGAAGCAAATACAGACTTCCATTACTTAAGAAGTTTCAAGTAGTAAAAAATAACTTAGAATTAGGTCACCACCACTAGGTTTAAAAGCCTTACTAGCCTTATTGCCTATGTATTGACAGCCTACATTTACATTGGCCATATATTACTCAAACCACATTAATGAGAAATTTTAATACTGAAAACAGAACTACATGGACATAGTTTGGTCTTCAGTACTTAGAGTGATTCACTTTGATTTTTAGCATTTATCTGTAAATAATCCATACATGTCTCTCTATCTAGAGTGAATTTTAAATGTATTTATTTTTTGTTAACTAAATTTAAACTTTGTCTTTTATATAACGCTGCTTTGTTATATTATGAACTGAAGAGACAAAAACTGCTGAAAGTGTGTTTCTAATAGTATTAAAATACAAACATTTTCAAATATTCCACTAAACAGAAGACTGTTTATGCAAAGAAATCCTTTGCTAAAAAAAAAAATTAAAAAAATGCTAAATTCCTGATTTCATAAAAAAACAAACAACAAACAACATCCATTCACGTTGAAATAGCTCATCAAAGCCAGAGAGGCAAGTTATTTAGGAAGATACATGCAATGTAGGAGTGCCCACAAGGTCAGGACTACAGTTAATGGATATAAAGTCAGACAGAAATCCTTAATTTTTCCTGAAATATGAGGTAAGTTGCATCCTTTTCATATTTAGATAAAAATTTAATCTTTTAAGATGAAAGACGTTTCTCAAGTTGAACTATTAAAAAATCTAGTGCTCTGGGAAGGAGTGCTCAGCTAGATCCATCCCAACCTTCTAGCTCGGGTTTCAGCTCTGGTAAACAGAAAATAAGCAAATAAACAAATATAAAAATACAAGTAAATTACATTCTGTTTGCCCTTGATTTATGTGGTTTTACAAGTATGAAAGTTTCAATATCTGAAATGACAAAACATCTTGAAATGAGCATGTGCTCTAGCAAACTTCTCAAATTGTTTTGAGAGTACCTTGAAACACACAAATTCTTCACAATGTTACAACTACCACTACTTGTTTTTCCATTAATATGCATATTAAAGCATTTAATTCACATACCTACAGGCATGGATGTAAAATATACATCTTTTTTTTATTTTATTCATAACCAAATTCAACACAAGCCAGCGCTGGCCTTTGTGCTAAGGATTTGGACAAAGCCAGAAATGCACTGTGGATCTTCCTGCGTCTCACAGCTAAGAATTCTTTACTATTGCTCTCTGGCACTTTCTGCAGATATTAGTTTCTGTTATTTCTACCTATGTCCCCTTATAGAGAAATAAATTAGAAGGCTTTTCATACCTTTGGCTGGAGATTTGGATGAAGTAGGACATACCCATTTGGATCAATTGCAAAATAGTATCCATTCGGACAAAGCTGAAAGAATAAAATAAAGTTTGGCACTGTAATGTCTTAAGAAAGATTAACTAATAGTTTTCAAGCAATAGTTACATTGAGGAAAATACATTGTTTCAGGCACCACGAAATATGTGTAATATTAACATAAAGAAGATAATTTCTTAATATTTATTCTTTTACAGTCATAAACTTGGAGAATAATTTAGGCTGATGGGATCTCTAGAGGTCCCTTAGTACAGCCCTTCACTGAAAGCTGAGATAGCTTCAAAACAAGATCCAATTTCAAAGCTGGACTAAGCTGCAAAGTGTCTGAACACAATGGCGATTCCATAAACTCTCTGGGCAACCTGCTCCAGCGTTTAATCACCCTCACAATGATTTTCTTCATGTATTTCCAGTTGGAATTTCCATTGCCACAACTATGTCAATTGCCTCTTATCTTTTGCTATAAACCTTCAAGAAATGTTGAGGTCCATTTTCTCTATGAATCCCATCAGGTAACCCACTTGGTTCCTCCTTCAATCTGAATAAATCCACCTCTCTTAGTTTCTTACCATCTACTCCAGCCCCTTGGCAAACTTAGAGGGTCGGCGCTGGCCATTGCCCAGCATTTCAGTGTTTTTCTTATACTGAGGAGATCAAAGCTGACACAGTGCTCCTGATCCGGGTGTCCACTGCACAGCTGGCCTTCCTTACTTCAAGGACACACAGCTAACTTGTGTTCTGCTTGTTCTCTACTACGACCCCCAGGTCCTCTCCTGCCTTTTGAGGCAGGCTAGCTCATCCTGTACTATGGAATGTGGTTATTCCATCCTAGATACAGAACTTTGCAATTGCCTTCAGCCAAATTCGTGTTGTTTCTTTGCTTCTTCAGCTGCTGCTTTCCACAGGAACACTTATGTTCTTAGAAATTCTCCAGCTAGATGTCTAAATACATAAATCAGTCTTACTGAGTAGAGTACAGACAGACAGAGAGACATGTATATTAAAGAACTTTTCTATATTGCTGGAGAGAAAACTGTCAAAAAATCTACAACAATGGAAAAGAATATATGAAAAGCAGCCTGCTGGTATTTTGACTTGTATCCAGTCATTGCTGTATGACTTATGAAGGAGCATGCACAGAAATCATACATAAATTATACATAAAAGGAAACCACCAAGCAAGCAACTTACCGTAAATCGTGGTGTCAGTTTTTTTATGTCCTCCAAAGAGACATCAACCCCCATTACTCCAAGAATCAGCTGGTTCTGGTAAGATTCCAAAATGTTAGAATACGTTTGACACATTTACAATGAAGGATAACTTCAACAGTCAGTGCATTTTGATTTTGCCTTCATCTCTTGTTTGACAGATACTATTTGAAAAGTTGCCTATTTACTTAAGCATTTATTCTAAATATTTTAAGTAATATCCAAATGATTCAAAATAACTTTTGCTACATTCAAAATTTGGAACAGAATATTAAAGCTGTTTATGAGGATGAATATGGATATTTTCCTGGATGAATAAAAAATGAATGTAAGAACAAAATAGATGAAAGTGATGTATTAATTGAAGTGATGTATTAATATTGCCAGTGATGCAGATACTAGATTACTAGCACCAGTATAGGGCTACTGTTGCACGCTTAGGTTGGGCAATTGATAAGTGAGACCCCAAAATAATTAACCACTTTTGGCTATAGTGCAACAATGAATGTAAAAAAAAACAACAACAAAAGAAAAAAACAAACAAAACAGAACGTCCAGTGACTATAGCAGTGATCAGGATATGAAATCAGGGACTCAGGCACTACATTTACTTCCCTTGTAATTTACTTCCCTACTACAGAAAAGGAGGGCAGTCATTTACATAGTATCACCTGAATCCCTCCTCCATATTAAATAAATTTGGAATATGTACTGGAAGATTCATTTTGCAGTCTGTAACCTAAAATTCAGATAGAGATATAAATCGAGCAGATTCCAGTTCTCCTGTTGTTCCTCTGTACTAGACCATGGCTTTTTTACTTCTCAGAAAGACATCCTTTGATTATCAGTAGTTTCTCACTCTGCAAATAGGCTCAGTGAATTCCAGGCATTACCTTATAGATAAGATTATAAAATATCTTTGTTGTTGTTTTGTTTTTAAAGGGAAACTAAGAGAACTACTCTGAAAGCAAATAAAAGAAACGGTAGTGATCAAATTTGTATTTACTCATTGTGAGTCTATTCTATATGTGAGATACTGAATCGAAGAATATCTTGTCTCAACTTCTGTATATTTTGACCTGAATGAACATGAGTATCACAACAAATGTACACTATTTTACCACACACTGTAAAGTATATTCTATGTCTGATTTTTTTTAAATCCAGCATTTTGATTATGTGAAGAGGACATAAATTAATTCCATATCAGACAGTAATACGGATGAACAATTTAATACTTAGATTTTAATCTAAGTACACAGTGCTGTTTTCTATTATCATTACAACCAATTAATTTAAATTCTCTATATCATTCCCTTTTATGCTGAAACGTCAGAGCTTCACATTTGCTATAAATCTATCTGGGCATTCCTTTCTTGGCAAGACCTAAATAATATAATAATCTACTTCCCATCTATTGAGCACTTACGCATTCCCACTGTTACCAGGTCACAGAGATAGATCAAGGAATGTCACATACGCTGAAACAGAACTACAAAAAGCATGATCTGCATTTTCAGGTTCCCAGGAGGTTATCAAGTAACTAGAGAGGACTCCTTTGTTTTTTATGTATAAGACAATTAAACCATAGAAAGCTCTATGGAAATACACTTTTTTTCAAGGAGCTTTAAATACAACTCAAATAGCTTTTTTTTCTTTTTTTTTAAGTAACTGCTTACTATTTTCCCATTTTGTTCCTTTGTTAGATTGAAGACAGGCAGAGTTCCTGTAATCACAAGGCCCAGTTCCTAGGAAATAAACATATAAGGTGGAGAAAAAGACTTTTTAGTTAAGTAACAGATATAGAATTCCAATATATTAGAACAATTCAGGGATTGTGGTAGCCAAACAGTAGATTAGAGTTCTAGCTTTTAGTTTGTAAAAAAAGGAAAATAATAATGCTACTTGATCGACTTTATGCATAGAAAGTTAAAATTACATTTTTCTCTGTCCATGTGTTAGTGAGAATAACATATTACTTTTTAAAAATAAATCGTGCACAACTTAGGACATAATAATTTAAAAAACCCCTAAATGTTATGAAAACATCTTTACAGCCACAGTATCTACTATACTACAAACTCCAGATAGTACAGGGAAAAAAAAAAAAGATGGTGAATAGGTAGTCAAGGAATACATACAGACAAAATAAACACAAAAATCCAACAGTTAATACTGCTACTTTTTATATAATCACTACTTTTCAATGGCTTGCAATAATGTCCATCATGAGTTCTACAAAATCACATAGTGTCTTCTGGTACTGAGGTAAGGAATTTGTACTTATCTGGGATGATATGAGAAATTTGCTTTTCCTCTAGGAGTCACAACTCACACTTAAAATAGAATCCTTAAAAACATTCATTTAGATAACCAGAAAAGTTTTGCTTTCCATTCTAAATTATGCACAAAAAATGTCTACTTTTTCTAACCCAAATGCTTGGCTTTTATTTCATTTTTTCCCCTTCCTGACATGTACTCCTTCGATGTATTCCCTTTGTTTCATTAAAAAAAATGAAGTAAAATACTTTATTAATCCACTCTTATTAAATCAGTTCTCCATTTGACCAGTGTGGTAACACATTTTTGAATTTCATGTATCAAATGAAAGGTGGTAAGATTAGAGTTAGTAATGTTACAAGCAAGGTGAAGAGGAGGAGAAGTGGACTTTTTAGGAGAATAAGAGAAGCAAGAAATGGAGATGAATCAAAGATGAATTATCTTGTAGAAAGTAAGGCTAAAGCAACACTGTAACAGAATCTGAAAGAACAGAGAAAAGAGGTGTGAATTGCCAGAACTACATCAAATTATTATCAACCAGACTGAAAGGCCTCCTTAAGAGTTCATAACCTGAACATAATGTCAATTCAAATGTGGCCTCATATAATACATTTATTTCAGCCTTAGAGCCAAAACTGCTTCTGGACAGTAAGAGAAAAGAGATAGGAAAAAGTTCAGTGAGGCACAAGCAGGACAAAGGTAAATCCTGCAGGAGGGAATTGCTTTAAGGAGTTTAAGGTAGAATGTGAAAAGTTAGTTCTGGTCTCTGCTAAAACCAAGAATCAGGAAAAGGCTCCAGAGTGGATTAGAAACACCTGTGCCGTTATGCCCGCATCTGCAATGAGAAAGTCCACAAATTTCAGCCTGTAGCTCAACAGTTTAGCTTGGATTGTCCTACATTTTAAAAAATGTGTACATACAAAAAATGTTTACACACATATATATAGAAAATATATATACACAAACACGCCCTTATAACCTACGAATGGAGGAAAGCTTGAAGACTAAATGAACCCACTGAAAACACAAAGTAACACAACAGAAGTCTGCAGATATCACTCACTTTACTTCATTAAATAGATCTTTTTCAATCTCCAGTTACAAATTAAGATTTGGCTTAACAACAGGATATGTACAGAACATATGAACTTTCATTACAACATCCTTTATCTTTCCAGTAAGTACCTCAAGAGTAACAAAGAAAACACAGTTGATGAACTTCTGGCCATTGAAATTCCTAGAAAAACAGAGCTCCTCTGTGTCATGCTCAGTTCTATGATGTGTTGATAAAAATTTTACAGTAATGCTGACTGACTGGAAGAAGTAGATTGTGATATGACATTAAATGACCACATGAACTTGGATAAATACATGATTCCAGGTGACCATTTTACAGTAATTTTTGCCTAGTTAGAATTACTCAGAAGAATGTTATCTAGGGCAACAGACTGTATTGCTGCTAATAATGCTTTGCATTTCTTAGTTTCCTGAATGTGTTTTTTTACAAGACCAAAGTAATGAATTCACCAGTAAGGAAAGCATTAAATGTACCTTTTTATTTCCCCATTATAAACACTGTCGAATTAAATAAATCATTAGCTTGAGCAAGCCAGTGATTACCATTATAATTTAAAGATCCAAGCTGAAAATCTGTAGAAATACTCAGCCACATTTACACGTTTCATTCTGCCTGGAATAGTTTTTGAGGAAAAAAAACTAAAAAAAACCCCAAAACAACTCACTAGTAACAGAACAGATTACCTCTACTGCAGCACAGGTGCAACACTGGAAAACTATTTGCTTCTTTTTTTCTTTTGTTAATTTGAGGAAAGTAATGACCTACATTCAAAGATCTGGAGAGAATCTTTGCAGGATAAATTGCCTTTCTTTGTTAAGGTTTAGGACACTTAGGTTTCTAGGTGCAAGTAATGACCATCACATTAGAAACAGCTGTTCAGTTGTTCTATTGAAGTCTATAGATGCTGGAAATGCAAGAATATTCTATTTGGAAGCATAGGAAATTGAGTCCTCAGGATTGTGGAAAATGGATCCCTAGAGTTACTGACTTGCTAAGATTCTTACTTTACTAGAGATAAATACAGATCGTACCAGAGCATCCAGATAGACATTTGTCCATTGGACTTGTTTGGCTTTTTCTCCAGCTAAAACCATCGGTCTCCCCAAAACATCCAGATATTCCTGCCAAAAAGTGTAATAAACTGATTAGATCAATTTTAATTTATAAAATAAAAAACAATTAAAGCATCAGAAAGAAAAAGGTCAAAATTCGCTACTAATACGTGAGTAGTATTCAATTACTTCTTTAAAAATTATACTACCCCAAAATTCAGTCTTAGTTTGCACTATTTAATGCCAAGAAAATTCCTGTATTTCAGTTTCAGTTACATGAAACTTACACATACATAACCACTGGTCTCCTTCCACGAAGTTAGAATTACAACTGTTTTTTGTTCCAAAGTTAATTGCTAATGACATAATGAAAGTACAAGCAGATCTCAGAACCTTCAACCCAGAAGAGAGAGTGCGAGATGGAGGGTGCGTGGTGTAACAGCTGGGTATGTTAAACTCCTACAGCAACAACTTGCATAACTTCTACCAAAAAAAAAGTAAATAAATTAGAGTTATAAAACCTCATAGTCCCTGCCTTTCTTTGGTTCATGAGTACGGCTAAAGCTGGTGATTTTATGAGATGTCAGACTTCTGATCTGGTTTGGGAGTGGATACCATAAGACTTGCTTCAGTCTTCAACCTTTTCTGTTTGTCTGATCATATTAGGGATATTTCTTGCCAGACACTATCTGGAAGAGTTTAACAGAATCAAAAGACTCTTATTCAAGCCAAGGAAAGGACTCTTATTTTCTGCCAAAAAATGTCATGCTTGGCCTTGGAAGGACAAAGCACTGCTCTTCTGGACATACGAGTACATGGACTTTCAGACAACTGAAAAGAATCTCTGTTCATCTGCATGGTCAGCTGGAATCACACCATATAATGCCAGGGTCCTGTGCCCTTAGTCATCTACACTTGTATCTGCTAAAATTGTTCTGCATTATTTTTGAAGGAAGAAAAGCTGTGTCTCTCCCAGATCAGTTGGATTAATCCAGGAATCTCTCCTATAAACAGGAGGTAGGGTTCTGCCCTCACACACATCCACAGACTTCTCCACATAAGACTCCGTAGGAGCATGTTTTAAGTATGGCAGGAGGCAAGCACATGTTGTAAAAACTACTGGGTTTACAGAACTTTACAATAAGTTGCTACGATGTCTCAGGACCATGTAACCTAATCTGACCATGTGAGGCCAGGAGAAAAACTGAGCCCAAAACATAATCCTTGAGCAGAGGTCTGCAGGATACAGATGACATCAAACGCTAGGTTGGGTGCACATGATCAGCCTGCTCTAGAGGATGCTTGCGTGACTAGTATGTGTGCAAGCTGCTGTGGGCCATCTGGCCAGGGAAACAGGGATCACACTGTGATTGGCTCACTGCAACTACTGAAAAAAAAAATAATAGAATGCTTTATCAGAGTAGTCCCCCAGACATAACAGAAAGCTTTATTTTTTTTTTCTCTTCTTAATGCAGTGTATCTTAAAATTCTATTGATTCAAACAGAGGTGAAATGCAACAGATTTAAGAACAGGAATTAATCCACTTCTTTGCATTATAACTGTATCTGGACTTGGCCAACACACTTACCTGGGTGTTTATTCTTATGGCTCCAATGGATGGAATTTCATAATAATAACCTAAAATTTAGAACAGAAGTAATGCCATCTTAATATTATATTGCTAGTCTCTTAATCTTTAGCTAGTCTCTTAAGTTTTAGGAATTTAATTTAGCCTTTGTATTTAATTTTATTATCATGAATGAACAGAATACTTTTTTAGTAGATGTCACCACAACACATTGCCACTCTTAGGCAGAGTATATAACATGTTTCTTTTGCCTGTTTTATTTAAACCTGAGATAACATACTGCATTTGTACTCCAAAATGCTCAGTTACTGATGTGCAAGTATGTTTAATGGTCATTTTAATATGTGGTGACAGCAACATGATTATATGCTGAATGAATCAAAAACACCTTTATTGAGCATTGACTCTATCTATTGACTCTATTATCTTTTTAAATTAAAAATATTGCCCACGTGCACCAATAAGACCAAAGACAGGCACTGAGATCTAGTTTCAGACCAAGTAAGTTGTAAGACAAATTGGGAGGAGGGGAGAACTGGAGAGGTAAGCGTACTGAGGAGAGTCATTTACTTTGCCATAAGCAATGCATGACTTGACAATATATTAAAACAATTAGTGAGAAATTAAATAAAAGTTTGCTTCTTTATATGTATAAACAAATAACCATACTGATGATTCGGGACAGAAGATTGTGATGATATTGCCTTGATAATAAAACGACATAGGTGGTTATGCTTTAAGCCAGATGGTCCTCATTTGTTTTATAACAATGGAGTCTTTTGAGATATAAAGATGTTAGTCAAAAAAATCCCTGTTCAAAAAAAAATCCTATTGATTATCTGTAATTATCTGAAAATACAGTCTGCTCTTCATGAAGTTGTTGTGATTTCTGCATAACTTGCCAGTATCCTGGGGGATTCATGAGGTTATGGTTCAAATGTTATTCATACGGGCTATAGGATATTTTTACATTTTTGTCTGTATTCGTTATCTTTCCCTTATCTTTAGTTTATGCTATTCTCATGCCTAAGAATTATATCTTAATCGCCTTCCCTGGCAATCTTAATTCTCAAGACCTTTTTTAATCTACTCTATCTCCCACCTTTTCCTTCTCACTGATTTTTAAAGTACTTTCAAATTTTTAGTAAGGCCTGAAAATTGGTCTATTTAAAATACTAAACAAGATTGTTTCATACTTTCTCTGATTTTGTATTTATCTGTATTTATCTCTTATTTCTTCTTCCAGAATTATATTGTAGGGTATTTGAGACACCTCTTTGTCACACTCTTAAAATGCTTCTGACCACATTTTTCATGTAGAAATTTTAGGAGAAGCCATTTTTACTTCCTTACTTCCACTTTTTTAACTTCTTTTTTCACATAAAGAAACCAGGTTAAAATAAAAAAAAATATAAGATGCTTTTGGAAACTAAGAAATTGAATAATTTGATATTTTCATCAAAAAAAGAAATATAATGCAAGTCATCTAGTCCCTTATAAGTTGCAGAGAAAACCAGAAAGAAATCTAACCAGCCACCCAACCAAACAGAAAAATCCCTTTGTCCAGACTCCTTAATAGAAAACAGCTTTGCTGAATTTCTTATCTGTCATCAGTTCCATCTTTTCAAAAATGGCTATTACAACAAGAATTCTCAAAACTGAACCATAATATCCTTTTACTACAAAAAAATGCTGTGATATTTTATTTACAATATAAAGTTTTAAATAATGAAAGAAGAAATAAATATGAAAGCTTATTCTTTATGTATATATGTTTTCAAATGCATATTATTTAATCAAATAACTTCGCAACTTTAAAACAATACAATGCAGCAAAAAAAATAGATTAAAAAAAGTTGTAATTTTTAGAGAATAATAAAGACATCACTTATCGAAAGGTCTAGCACAGAGTAGTCTCAAAGAAAACACAGTACCTTTATTTTCACACGCCATCCACTGTATGGGTCCTTTGTCATAATTATGTTGACCAACAGAAAATGTGAACACACGTACCTACGCAAGTTAAAAACCAATGCATACATCTTTACTGTATGTCATTACATAGCTGTGATTATCAAGCTATTGATACTTGAATTTTTTATACATTTGAACAGACAAAGAAAACTGTAAGCTTAACTGTAATTTCTTTTAATCACCATAACAGATACACGGTTATTATGATAGTTCATATATTCCTATTATTTGTTCCATGAACTAGAATCCAGGAAGAATGTTTTTTCATACACTTTCATACTTTAAAGCTATAACATTGGTCACCATCCATGAACCACTTAAATTTCTTTATTTTTTTTAGTTTTCTACCCAGAGTGATAATTATAACTCTTCAGGTTTTGTTAAATTACTTGACATAATCTCCTATTAATGATTCATATCAATGAATTAAAATGGACATGTGCATGGCAATAAAATTCAGAGGAATGAATTCATTATAAAACAGTATTTTTTAGCATAAAAAATAATTTCAGAAAAAAATAAGACATTTTCAGATACTATAGAAAACAGATCCTCATTTTGCACAGACTTTCAGTCTCTTTCATGTAAAACTGCTAAATTAGTTCAACAGTATTCTATAGAAGAGTTAAGCTTCTGATATTAAGCTCCTGATATTCATTAAAGGTATGATATTTATAAGCACAATTCTATTCTATGTAGCCAATGCAAATCTAATCTATCTCAGCAACTGAGAGGAGCCATGACTAAATTCTATTCAAGTTTTGCACTGAAAATAGACTTTTCATCTAAAATTATTTTCTATGCAAGTTGTCTGATCTGAATGAGAAAAATTAAGACCAAAATGCAGTGTTGCTGCATGCAGATTAAAAATCCTACAAGACACACAGAAAAGTTACAAATATCTTGTTTCAGTTTCTGGCTGAATATTTTTCTCCAAAGCTGAATGTTCCTGTAAAAGGTAGGAAAAATGTTTTCCCAACAGTTTTAGTAAGCTGTTCACTATTATCACCTCCCTCTGAAGGAATGTCCAAGGACCAGCCTGTCTTTCCTTTTCAGGCATCCCTTTCTCTATGGACCATTAACTTGCTTTATAGATCACAGATCACGACGTGAAATCAGAATACGAATTCCTTTCTATGGAACGTGATTAAAACATAATAGAATTAATTTGCATGCAGGCTGTAGCTGAGTGATAAGGTAATGCTTTCTTTAAATAATATTCAAACTATAAAATTGCAGACATTCAGTGTAAACTACTGTCACTGCAAAGTTTTTAAATTGCCATTTATATAAGTTTTCATCACATTATTTAGCATGTGCAAGTACTACCTAAATCTTCATTTGTCAAATAGCAACAAAAAATTGTGTGAAATAATCAGAGCTTATGTATTAGCTAAGAGTTGTAGGAATAATTCCAATTCATCAATCAGCAGTGAGCAAATGGTGAAACTTTATTAGTGTTGACCCCTAAATGCAAGGAGATCGAACAAAGCTTTGTGCTAGATGTCATTTTTAATTAACAATAAGTTTTGATTTGCTTTATCCATACAAGTCCTTTGTTTCTGCAGTTAAAGGCAGAATTAAAGCAACTACTCTGCTGCACTGAATGCTGATTCAGTACTTCCAGTTGTTTGGGTTTTTTTTAAAATATGGACAAAGTTTGAAGTTTTTCAATAAAACTAATAAGACTACCCTATACAGGGCCCTTTGTCAGTAATAAGTCAAGCCAGTTGCATCTCTAGATAAACAGACAGGTACAGGAATGTGTGATGGCAAAATAATTGTTCTCATAATCATATGGATAGAGACAGATGAAAAATGCTATTACCTTGAAAATATCGGTATTGACAGTGTGAAAATGACTTTACCTGATATGTCTACATCTCATTTCTTCTTTTAATACTTTATCACATTGTAAATTCAAATTACATTTGCCATTCCTTGTTTGTTCCTGACCTCTTTTTAAAATGTCAGCTTTAACTCTTCTAATAGATCTTTCTGCTTGTATCTAATTACCATCTATTTTTTCCAAGCTGAACACCACAATGGTATTTTCCATTGATACCTCCCAGCTCACAAGGTCCCTGACTACTACACTTCTATTATTTTTTTTGGACTCACCACTGCTCCCAGTTTAGTGTCCACTAAACACTTGATTCAAAATACATTCCTCTCAAAAACAATGGTGCAATAAGAAAAATACCACCAAAGGCCACTAGTTAGATAGTTGAGTGACCTGATGTCTCTTTTTGGTTTAAAAGTAACTAATTAAGTTTAAACATGTCTGTGGATTTGCTTGTGCGTGTATAAAACACGAGTCAACTAGACTGGACTGTCTAGCATTCGATCTCAAACCTAAAATGAAACACTGCATTGGATTCAAGTTGTGAAATAGTATGTAGTTTAGGGAAAAGCAGCGGCATGTTAAATCTGCAACTAATCTATGAAGAATTTAGAATTTAAATTATTGACAACAAGCAGAGGACAATGTATCTGATTTACTGTTCCTTGGATAATTAACAGAGATAAAGAACTGCAATGAAAATTGGAGTTTTTAATTGCTACTTGGTTTGGCAAGAGGGTGGAACATTCAAAAGAGTTTTCTTTTTCCTATTGCCTCATCTGGAATTGAGTAGAATGACAGACCAGCTGGAAAAATGAGTCAGCAAGTCAAATTAAACAAACAATTTTTAGCAAAAAACATGCTCTGTGCTAACATTTTCTGTGACAGGAGTCAGCCAAAGGACTGAGGTGTGTCCGTCTATACCTTTTCTTTTTTTTTCTATACTTTTAAAGGAGAATTTAGTGCTAAGAACACTTGGGGCAACTAGATCAGACACAATGGATATGAGCACCTCTCCCTTTGCCTATCCTTCCTTTTAAGTTCAGTTTCAACCAACTAAGCGGATTTCTGAGTTGAAGGAAACTGCTAAGTACACTTTGATCCCAGTAAGTTGTTTTCCATCACCACCTAGGCTTGGATATTTCTTCCCTGTGCTTCTCTGCAGTCTTTTACAGTCTTTGTAAACTACATGTTCACAGATCCTTTAGCTATGACTCCATCATCCACACCAGCAGACGGACACTTCAGTCTCTCAAACCATTTCCCAGGGGAAGAACAACCTTGCCTCCACACAGAGGAGGTCTATTTATTCTCTTCAGAAAGAAACATGACTTTCAAATCAACAAAAGCCAATGGAACAATTAAGAAAAACAAGCTGTCACACCTTCTAATTTTCAGTGGGACTATCTGAGGAAAAGAACTTCTAGAAAACTTGTAGCGTTGGAGTGGAGAAGAAATAGAAATGGGTACCAGACTGCTCTTCCAGCCCAGTCAGACACAGTCTTGAAACTGTTCTGAAATGTGAGATTCTTCATTTCTGCCACTGAGAGTCTAGAGCTGTGCTAGCTCTGTCAAGAATATATCATCTGCTGGCAACCAGTAGATAATTTTCTTGATTTTTCTCACACTAAAACTTATCCTTGAGAGGAGATACAAAACTTTTTATTCTTTTTTTTTTATTCATTTAAAGTATATAGTAGAGCAATATACTTAGTAACAAACAAATCAAATGTAGAATTAATGTAAGGACAGTAAGACAGCGAGTGGCACAGGCTGCCCAGAGAGGCTGTGAAGACTATCTCATCTGAGGTTTTAAAGATCAGACTAGATAAAGCCCTGAGCAACCTGGATTTATCTTATCCCTGACATTGGACTAGAGACCTCTGGAGGTCTCTTGTAAACTGACTTATCTTAGCACTCTATGGGGACATCATCATCGTCATCATCATGGCCTAGGCTGAAGGGACCTTAGAGATCATTTAATCCAACCTCACTGTCATGGGCAGAGACGCCTCTCAACTAGACCAGGCAACACATGGGGACATCAAAGAAGAACAAGCAAGAATTCCAGTCCTAATCAGAGGAAGTGGTAGACAAAATAGAAAGCTACAGAAATCAGAGAAAGTAGTACTGCACTGAAGAAAATACAATTACCTAAATATATATTTAATTTACGTTTTACTTTGCATTTCTCTCTATCAGAAAAAAATCATAAAACCCAAGGGGAATAAAAGGATTCTGACTGCTACAGATATCACGGAATAACAGCCCCCGAGAGAGTTGTGATGAAGACACAAAGGAAGAGCTATCCATGAAAAGGCCTCTTTCACTACAGATCTTATTTACTTTTTACATCTCTTATTTGTTCATTTTGCTATTGGAATAAAATTAAGATTAAATTGGTCTCTTCCTTTGAGTGTATCATGTTATGACTATTACAGAAAATTAACAGCTCAAGTGAAGTTAATTCATAACACACAATATCCCACTTGCTGTTTAGATCAATGTACATATGTACAGCCAGCATGTGTAGGCCTACTAGAATATAAGACACTGCAACGACTCTGCAAAAGTTCAGAGTGCATGAACATACGTATTTTTTGGCAGATAAATTGTCTTGAATTCTGTGCTGCTGCAATGCAAGAGCTCTCAATAATCATTTGCGGGCATCTCTTCATTCTTCTGTTTAGGAGGAGATTAACTGACCTTTGGAGGTACATATATCTCTTTATCAGACATCAAGAGAGTTACGTGATTAATTCACTCAACTAGATGTAGGCAAGATGTATCCTATCATTTTATGTCTATCATGTACAAATAGCAGATTCCATCTTTATCACTAGAAAAACTGACTGAGTCAAAACTGATCTCAAGTCACACAGCTTTAGTTTTCATGGTGACAGTACGATTTCAGAATATTTTAACCTGGATTTTATATCTGCAGGTAGAGATTCATAGATAATCTTTTTTACTATAGTCCAAGAGAACCTGCCATAAAGAGGAATAAATAATGTAATGTGTTTACAGATTATCAGATATGATGAAAAATTGTTTGTGGTTTATATTTAATACGTAAAATTCTGAAATAAGAGGAAAATATGCCAATTTCTGAATAAAATTATAAAATTTCTTTTCTATATTGTGTTATATGCTCTGTTCTCTGAATCTCTTGTAAGTATAGACTTTAAACCACCTA